TCAGTAGTGGCCTTTCTAAACAGAGAAAAATAAAAAACAATTATAAATAATGCATTATGTGGCTAAGTGAATGTATTTGAGTGCATAAACTCAAGGTGAAATATTTAAATTTATCATAAAACATAAAATACATGCATTCACAGAATAAAATTTGCCCAGCACTTTGTACAAAAACTCAGAATTAACATTTTATGAATGAAATCAGTAACTCACTGTTCTACTTAGCAGTGTGCGTCCTCAGGACACACCCACACACACACCCCAAGAACTCCACACGTTACTCCCCTCTAAGTCAGTGGAAACATATGAAACAAACATTTACAGCGTCAGTATACACCAATATAATGTGATTTTGTTTGTTAATACACTTCATTGTCACTCACGCTTTCGCCGTTGGTCAGAGTCTCTTCCCCTCGTGGCGAAGATACACACACACTCACTCGGCTGTCAATCGTCGGGAATCAGCTGGGACACCTAGGTCTTCATGCATCTACCTTGGTCCGTGAGTTAGTTAACTTTTTCGTCTGCCGATCTTAAGGATTATTACTGTACTTTACCATGGGTTATGGAGATATCCTCCGAATCGATAAACCAAAGTACATCCCTTGCCTTTTCTCTACATCGCGGGACCAAACACTTCCATTTTTCCCCGTGTCCCGTCAGAAACTCTACCCTCTTGTGCGAGCCGTCCCATGTAGAACTCTTAAAGCGATAGTGCCATTAAATACAGAGGACAGTTATCGCTGCAGTAATCTCACCAGCAACTACATAACATTATAACCCACATAACACTATTTAACTCTGTACCCCTGGTTCACCTGGCTACATTAAGTTTCAGTGCTCAGGACCTCCATATTAATGAGCTGATAGTTGACAAAAACAAGCAGAGAAGCCACACACTTGTGGTGCCAATGCTCTTTATTGAAAATTTACCAAACGTTTTGATACAGTATATAAGTTTTCATCATCAGAGTAGCTACGACCTATGATTGTGCAGCTGCTGTTGTCACTTCTTTGCCTGTTGCTTGGCCAAAGCCATGAGTGCTCCCTTTTATAAAACTAATTATCTTACAAATCTACAAAACTCAGTGCACATTTAGAAATATCACATATCCACACAGAGAAACCCATGGCTGGATTCAAACCTGCCCCACGAACTGAAATTAATATTTGGATGTAATACTCACTTGCACACAGACAACACATGTTAATTTATAAACGTTTTTACTTAGTCAACTAACGTTAGTTCGCTAGTGTGAATAAATCCTTTGAGTGCACAACTCATCGTTTCAGCAAATCGCATCGCTCCTCAGCTTCAGTCTTCTGATACCATTTCCTCCGCCGACGCAGCCGTCACTAAAATGCATATTACAGACTGTATATAAGATGGTGGCAGGTGAAAGTGCGACGTGTCATCTGTCCTCCAACACCACACGCACAGATGCCATAATTAGAATGTACAGCACACTAAACCAAGAGGAGGAAACTAAAAAATAAAATGAAGTCCCTCTGTGTTAGCTAACTTTCTGCAATAACTATGCTAGCCAACTACACCTGGCTAACTACAACTTTGTTAACTTAGCTAACTAAAGTAGAAAGACAAACCGACCATCAGACAGACACAGAGAAAGTAAAATACTGTATATGATAAATTGGTTAGCTAGCACACAACTATGTTTATCGGTTTGGTGCTCTGAAAATTCTCGTATAATTTGGCAAGATAGTCTCAAAACTTATAGGAAGGCCCTCCGTAATGCCAGAGCAGTGTACTACTCATCATTAATAGAGGAAAACGGGAACAACCCCAGGTTTCTTTTCAGCACTGTAGCCAGGCTGAGCCAAGTATTCCCATAGCTCTCAGTAGTTACGACTTCATGAGCTTCTTTAATGATAAAATTCTAACTATTAGAAACAAAATTCACCAAGACCTGCCCTCAACTGGCACCGATTTATCTCTTAACTCAGGAACCTTAGAAACAGCTGTAGAACCAGATATATGTTTAGACTGTTTTGCTTCCCTCAATCTTTACCAACTAACTTCAATAATTTCTTCATCTAAACCATCAACCTGCCTCTTAGACCCCATCCCGACTAGGTTGCTTAAAGATGTTTTACCCTTAGTAAGCACTTCTATACTAGATATGATCAATCTATCTTTATTAACAGGCTATGTACCACTGTACTTTAAAGTAGCTGTAATTAAACCTCTTCTGAAAAAGCCCAAACTTGATCCGGATGTTTTAGCCAACTATAGACCTATATCTAACCTTCCATTTCTCTCTAAGGTTCTGGAGAAAGCAGTTGCTAAACAGCTGTGTGACTTTCTACAGAGCAATAGTTTATTTGAGGATTTTCAGTCAGGATTTAGAGTTCATAATAGCACAGAGACAGCACTGGTGAAAATTACTAACGACCTCCTTATTGCATCAGACAAAGGACTTGTCTCTGTACTGGTTTTATTAGATCTTAGTGCTGCATTTGATACCATTGACCATCAGATCCTATTGCAGAGACTGGAACATTTCATTGGCATTAAAGGAACCGCTCTAAGCTGGTTTAAGTCCTATTTATCAGATCAATTTCAGTTTGTACATGTTAACGATGAGTCCTCCATGCACGCCAAAGTTAGTCATGGAGTTCCTCAAGGATCTGTCCTCGGACCAATCCTCTTCACTTTATATATGCTTCCCTTAGGCAATATTATCAGGAAATATTCCATAAGCTTTCATTGTTATGCAGATGATACTCAGTTATATCTATCGATCAAGCCAGATGAAACTCAGTTAGCTAAACTTCAAATGTGCCTTCAGGATGTTAAAACCTGGATGACCTGTAATTCTTTAATATTAAACTCAGATAAAACTGAAGTTATTGTTCTAGGGCCCAAGCACCTCCATGATGCATTATCTAAAGATATAGTTTCCCTTGATGGCATCGCCCTGGCCTCCAGCACCACTGTGAGGAATCTTGGAGTTATCTTTGATCAGGACATGTCGTTTAAGTCTCACATTAAGCAAATTTCAAGGACCGCCTTTTTTCACCTACGTAATATTGCGAAAATCAGGAACATCCTGTCTAAAAATGATGCAGAAAAACTAGTCCATGCATTTGTTACTTCTAGGCTGGATTACTGCAATTCTTTATTATCAGGCTGCTCGAAAAAGTCCGTTAAGACTCTTCAGCTGATCCAGAATGCTGCAGCACGTGTTCTGACAGGAACCAGGAAAAGAGATCATATTTCTCCTGTTTTAGCTTCTTTGCACTGACTTCCTGTAAAATCCTGAATGGAATTTAAAATCATTCTTCTCACATACAAAGCTCTTAATGGTCAGGCACCATCTTATCTTAAAGAGCTCATAGTACCTTACTACCCCACCAGAGCACTGCGCTCCCAGAATGCAGGGTTTGTGGTTCCTAGAGTCTCCAAAAGTAGACTAGGAGCCAGAGTGTTCAGCTATCAAGCTCCTCTCCTGTGGAACCAGGTTCCAGTTTGGGTTCAGGAGGCAGACACCATCTCCACATTTAAGAGTAGGCTTAAGACTTTCCTCTTTGATAAAGCTTATAGTTAGGGCTGGCTCAGGTGAGTCCTCAACCATCCCTTAGTTATGCTGCTATAGGCCTAGACTGCCGGGGGATTTCCTATGATGCACTGAGCTCCTCTCTCCTCTACTTTCTCTCCCTCTGTATGCAACCTCATCCCATTAATGCATGTTACTAACTCGACTTCTTCCCTTTCCCGTAGTCTTGTGTTTTCTCGTCCCTCTCCTCTCTCCTCCTATCACTTCCTGCAGGTGTTTCTGGCTCTGGAGCTGTGGAGTCTGGATCTGTGGTTGGGAGTCACCTGTTCCTGCTCGACACCCTCTGCTACAATTATTGTTACTAGTCGTATTGTCGAGGCAGATGGCCGCCCACCCTGAGCCATGGTTCTGCTCGAGGTTTCTGCCTCTTAAAAGGAAGTTTTTCCTTGCCTCTGTCGCCTAGTGCTTGCTCTTGGTGGGAACTGTTGGGCTTCTGTAAATAGCATCATAGAGTACGGTCTAGACCTGCTCTTTTATGAAAAGTGCTGTGAGATAACTATTGTTGTGATTTGGTGCTATATAAATAAAATTGAATTGAACTTAACGAGGTGTGACAGTTTTTTTTTAAGGAGGCATGACAGTGCGCCTGCGGAAGCTTGGAGAGTGACGTATGACTTATGGAATTACTATAGTCATACGTCACCACACCGTTTTAGCAACTAAGCAATTTTTGCAGCTTTGAGCACAAAATTAAGCTATTTCTAAAAAAATATTTGGCGAACTATGTGGATAATCAACATTGTAAGGAAATGACTCAGAAAAATATGAAATATCATAGAAATGTCAAAATACACTGGAGGGGGGCTTTAAAGATGGGCCGTTGAGATTGATTTCTAGGTCACAGGATTGAGGAGGCACAAATTTGGGAAATGAGAAAGGCCCAAGGAGTTACAAATACTCTACAGGGAAATGGGCCCAGGTGCCCAGAGTTACTGTACTGTTATCACTGTACTTATGGAAGAAAATAAACTTGAAGCGTAAAAATACAATTGGCTCTGTGACTCAATAGCCTACCTTCTTGAGTTTTCTCTATTTCATGAAAAATCTTTCTAGATTCTTGGAGACAAGATGTATCACTCCATCTTTCTTAAACTTTATGTAGGCCTACAGTAGTTTGTCATCTTAATAGAAGGTTTTTGGATATTAAAAAGATCTCTTCAATTTGCCATTATTTCAGTAGTAACCTACAGGAGATTCATTCAGTTTTATTGTTGTATGTCATTATTTTGGCAGCAAGCTAATGAAAAGCTTGGCCAATTATGTTATTGCATGTTGGCATGGCAGCACCACTTTATGTCGTCTCAGCCATAAAACCCATCAGAATTAGCCTTGTGGCTGCTATGTGTAGGACCAGAGGCATGGGAGGGTGGAAGTTCACAGCATGGCTCTCACGTATCAGGTTACAGGGTGGGAAAGTTGGACACCACAAGCGGCTTCAATCCAAACCAGAAGCAGGGCGACAAAAGAAGAAATCAGCATGACAACATGAGTGAGAGGGTGTCAGCGCTGAGTCGGGAGGACGGCGATATTACAATGGGATATTATGACGAGGAAGACGACTTGGAGGCGTTTTCAGACGCCGAGGTGGGCTGTGGGGGCGGAGGTAGGCTGACATTTCTGCTGCTTATGAAGGTCACACACCAGAACAGAGCGAGGGGAGACCACAATGTTACACTTTCACTTCGGCTCCGCGTTATCGGCCGCTGACACGTCTCCTACCTTTGCAGCCCGTTGTATTAGCTAACTGAAGCTGGTTTCCATAACGTTACTCTTTAAAATAAATGTCCGGTTTTCATCATTTGTGTAGTTACTACACTAAAGTTAAATTTACAGAGGTGGAGTAACGGAGTAGGCCTACATTGTAGGGGAGAGCCGGGACGAATGAAACACTTTTCAATTCAATTATGTATAAGATATCTTGTGGAACGACTTCAGTATAATTTCACTTTGAAGGAAAGGTGCACATTGTTTCATCTGTCCCTACTGTGCGGGACGGATGAAACACAACGTATACATTTAAATAGTTTATTTTTGTTTTTATTTAGAAAGCTTGACACTGCCCTTCTTAATACTTAATTGCAAACACATTATATACTTTTTCTTAATAAAAAAATAGTATAAATATAATTTTGCTAGTTAACTAGAAAATCCAACAGCAAATGCAGATTTGGATTAGATATTGGCTGCCCTTTTTTTATGTACATCTGCAGCCTGTTTTCCTGGTCTACTGTGAAGATCCTGTTATTTGGCTGTGAGTATCCTGGTGGTCCAGCCTGCAGCCTAGTGGACTCTGCCCCCCCCCGCCGTATCTAAGTAGGGTAGAATGGCTACGTGTTGTGATTCCTGACGTTTAAACTTCACTTGCTTCTAAACAGTAAAAAATTTACCTTTAAAACTTCAGGTTGTGTTAAAGTACTAATTAATCTTTCATACGATCATGACACATGAAACAATAAACACAACTTTCCCAAAAAAAATAAAAAAATAAAAAGATCGCTTGAGTGAATTTACTTTCCATGATTGAAAACAGCTTCTTTCACATAACTCCGTGAAAGTGTGACGTATCCACCTGATTTTTCAGGATCTGTTAAGTACTGTGGACGTGGAGAAAATTGCTCTCTTGTGTTTCAATTGTCCCGGCTCTCCCCCTGACACACATAATGACACCGAGTTAGTGTTTCTCCATTTTGGGAGACTTAGCTACATTAATCTGACAGCTGTGCAGGGGCGTTTTTAGGATTTTGAAACATTGGGGGCTTAGCCCAGCCCATAAAACTTCATATCTTCACATAATTGACCCCACCCCCCAACCCCCACCCCAAAGTTAAAGTCTGTAAAGCAGTATAGCAACAGTAAACATCCTCTACTTATATGCCAAAACAAAACTCACAACACCACTATTAACTGTCTCATTTTGATGTTGCTAAATTGTAATGTCATGTGTCTAAACTGCGGTAAAATGAATCCCCCACACTTTGTTGTGTGTTTTTTTATTTATTATTTATGTAAAGGAAACACAAAATTCAGGTAGCCCGCAGGAGGCTGAATCTTTGTGAGCCGTTTTCACTGGTTGCTATGTCATGTTATGACTGATTTGATCGTCCTTGTTGCTGAATTGTGGTGAATATTTAAGAACATTTTGATATTTTATGACCTTGTAACTGATTTATTTCCATCTTAAATGTGCAATTGTACTACCGCCTGCCTTGGCCAGGACACAAGAGTTTTTCCTGGTTTAATAAAAAGGTATAATAAAACAATTTCAAATCTAAAACTGTAACAGAATATAATGCAGAGCAGCTCTCAGGCATTCTGGGTTGCTTTCAGATATGTTTCTCCTGTAGATCAACTTTTAATACCATCACTGCTGAATCAACACACACACACACAGGTGTGACTGATTTGAGGTAACCTCTTTAAATGTGCATGTTCCACCTTTTTACGTCATCAATAATAAATTAAATCATTTTAATTATTTAATAGCTCCTGTGTTTCAGCAGGTTTTCTGCTTCTGTTCAAAGTTCTGCACATTCAGAATCTAACTGGGTTCTCTGACGTTTCCAGAATAAATAGCTATGGAGTGATACATCTTGTCTCTAAATGATCTTTGTTGGGAGTTGCACATGTGCAGTTCCTAGTTAAGGACTACAAGCCATTCATAATCAGAGAAAGGTGTGTCAGCGAAAAGACTGTAAACAGCTTCGATTCAGCGGTAGGCTACATGTTGCCGACCAGCTTAGCAACATGAACTGGATCAAGAGTTTCAGAGTGGTGAGTTATTAATCTGTAACAAAAGTATCTTTCATCCATAAAGTTTTAACTGAGCTCTGTCTCTACATCACAGTAACAACTTTATGTCCACTGACTGCCTGGACGGTAGCTAGTGTTTGGAAGGGAGAGGAGAGCTGTGTGCTGCAGCTCAGTGTTTTTTCACCTGTGTTTTTGAGGGCGTGTCGGACTAGTCGCCCAGCGAGCATTATGACACGTATTTTCATTGTGATGTCACAAGAAAGGGAAGTAAAGGCTGGACTACAAACGAGCTGTTTTCAGGCAGTTCTAAAGACGCTTTTAATGCGCCGTTAATGGAAAGTGAAAGTATTTCACTTGCCGGCTTGTTAAAGAGCGACGCAGGCTGCTTTCCAACACGGTCACCAGTGCCATAGTGTGCGCTCACTAGATTTCAGTTGTAAAGCCTTAAACTGAAAAGATATTTGCCTGATTTTCTAAATGTTTGCATCTGCACAGCTCTGTGACTGTGACAAGCGCCCGACCAGTGCTTTACTGCGTAACTGTGCACAGCCTGGATGAGCTCATTTCGGTTAAGGAAGCAAAATGCAGATTACAGATTGGTTAAGTTATGAAGGTATGAATGGAAAATGTAGCGAAATTAAGAGTAGGCCTACATTAGATGTACCCACCCCTGCTGCAGACATCATCACTGCTGCCTTCAGCTAGAAGTAAGCACAAAAGAAAAGTCTGTAATATTGAGGCACTTTGCTGCACCGGCCTCAAGCAACTTTTTTCCTCCCTCAACATTTCTATCGACTACATTTTGTCCGTGACTGATGTGGAGTGTGTGAGTGATTGACTGGTCTCTTAGTAAACCGCCTCCTATATGAGCCAGCTCTGAAATTGCCTGAGCCAGGAAGGCAATGCCAAATAAAACTTTACATTAGGAAAGAGGGGAGGACAAAACATCTCCTCTGCCTATCAGGTGATGAACCTCGCCACAAATCCACACAAGTTAATTTCAGCGCCTCTGATAAAGTGCAGCTCACAGCTTCAGGTGGATCAGAGGACAGACACAGAGCTACAGCTGGATCATCTTATTCTCCACTAATTTGCAGGAGAATAAATAATCTCTCTCTCGATTACAGTCTCAATGACTAAACAATTGCACATCAAAAATATATATTTTTTTAATGATCAAAAAACAGTCTGGTTTTAAACATTTAAAACTTTTACTTACTTCCAGTTGAAGTTGGTTTTAACAGTGTAAATTCTAATACTGAAGTTAAAGTAAAAGATCTGTACCAAACAATTTCGATATTCCATGAAACCACGTCAATGAATTGAAACTAAAATTAAAATAAGTTAAATTTATAGCTCCATATAAAATAAATACAAATATAATTAAGAGCAATTCTGAACAATATAAAACGTTCTCAATATATACTACACACAGGCAAGAGGTTTTCCTCCTTCACTACTTTTTACAAATTATACACCAAAAGGGAAGACTTTTACTCTGTCTTGCTCTGAACATCAATATTTGAACAGTGTTTTGAAAAATGTTTTGAACAGAGTCCTTAGTACTGTCAGTTGAGAAGTGGCAGGTTGTAGTACAGGAAGCACATCTCTGCCTCTGGAACCTGACAGAGATCCTCCTATCTTGAAGATGGGGGTGGAGGAGTGAGAAAGAGGTGTGCTGCAGCTCACTGTTTTTCCACCGGTGTGTCAGACTAGCCGCTTGGCGAGCGTTATAAGACGCGCATTTTGCTTTCATCCCTGTGACATCACAGGGATGAAAGGGAAACGGCTAGACTACAAACGAGCTGTCTTCAGGCAGTTCAGAGCAGAGCTTTCTGTGGGAGATGGGAACTCCCTTTGGGCTGGACTTTGGGCTTTTTCACTTTGCTAACCTGTTACATGCACAAAAAAGATATGTCTGAATAAAGGAGAGGAAAAAGCCAAAAAGCATAATACCACCTCTTTAATGATACCATGCATCATTACTCATGTCATCATTACAGTTATACTATTAATAAACATGCAAAAAATCCATCCATCTTCGTCGGGTCACAGGGATACGCAAAAAAATAATTTTTTGTTGTCAAGCAATACATATAATCTGCCATAATAAATACTTTCAATGTAGCATATCACATCTAGTTTATCCCTTTACCAGCAGTCTTTAAATTCTAAATGCTACTGTTGAATGCATCCAATATTACATGATGTCTACAACAAGGACCTTTAACTTTGAAAATTCCCGATAACGTTTCACATTCAAAAGATAGATAACTTTGTTTGGCAGGAAGCCGTGTTAGAAACTTGTTCAGCTCACATTTATTTATGTGTCCCCTCTGATTTAATCATTTCTGATGTACCTACTGTAACTACACTATTTGCCACCTACCATTGCATTAATCTAATATAGCAATGCGTTAGCGGCAGTAAGCAATGTTACAGAATATTTAGAAGTGATAATGATAGGACCATTTGCTAGAACTACCACACTGTTTCAGAATCTACAATCACGTTTGTAAGCAGCGTAGCTTGCAATACTCAACTACTGTAACTTAAACATGCTGTGAACAGTAAACATACTGCCAGGAAAATCGGGAGTGTTAGCAAGTAATACTTGCCAAGTGTGGTCATGAATGTAAACATGTCAGGATTATTTGGGCTAAGAGGAGAAGTGATGACTTTTATTATTATTTAAGTAATGAAGTGATGCATTTCACGTGACAAACGACCGACTCACCGTAGATCTCCATGCCGGGTATGTATAATCTGCCACTGGCTTGGCTGAATGCTTTCTTCTGTAGTGGATTTCTGGCACTATTGTCGGCTGGGGAACTGCAGAGTGCCCTCTGGTGG